ACCCCAAAGAACCTACCGTTTTAAAGGACTGATGTAAGGAAGTCATATCAAGGAACTCTAAGATCGGTAGGTTCTTTAGGGTCCAGATAAAGCCTAAAGCCCCGAAAGCCTAAACCCTAAACTAAACCGAAAGCCTAAAGCCCCTAAACCCTAAACCCTAAACCCTAAACTAAACCGAACGCCTAAAGCCCCAAATCCCGAATCCAACGTGCGCCGCACGAGGCAGATGATGCTTCTGCTCGAGAAGGTTGTTCCTGGGATTGAAACCCAGACCCCCAAAAGGATCTAAAAAATAGATCAACTAAGGGGGTTCCTATAAAGTACCCTTTAGTAGTTAGGGTCCCTAATTAGGGGATCTATTTTTTAGATCCTTTTGGGGGTCTGGTAATGCACCAAGATGTGTTTGCTTTAGGGCTTTATAGGGTTTAGGGTTTAGGGTTTTAGGGTTTTTAGGGCTTTAGGGTTTAGGGTTAAGGCCCGCGCTCAGGTTATAAGCCCGTAAATCCTGATGCCCGAATGCACCAAATATACCTTCAACTCTGAACCCGCCACCAGGACTGTCAACCGAGACGTCACGCGCCTAATGTTACAAGGTATTTAAGGTCTCATCGTGGGTAGATGGAGGGTCCAGATAGACCCTGATTAATTACGCCCACTTTCTTTCAGGACGTCGACATTGGGAACAGCCGGCTCTGATGTGTTATGATTCCACGGACATGCACGGGTGCTTCTCAAATCGAGCGTCTACATGGGAATGGTTGGCCTGGTTGTGCTGTGAAGCCACTGTGGTTATCTTGAGTGTGTGCTTATGAAATCGAGCGTCTACATGGGGAAAACTTGTTCTGATTTGTCATGATTCCGCCGACGGGTGTCTTGAGCGGGTGCTTCTCAAATCGAGCGTGTCGTTTAGTGGAAGCAACCTTGCTGGCGCGGCGTATACATGGGGAAAGCCATGTTGGTGTGACCATGGTGTGACCTCATCGCATCGTGCGCGTCCGCTTAGACAGCTGTGTTCCAACAAGAAGTGGCGTGACTTGGGGAGTTTAAAACCTATTTACACCTTAAACCCCCTAGTTTAATTGCCCTAACATACTCTAAACAAACTCTTGACCCTGTAAGCATTCTATAGGGTTCTACAATAGGGCCACTTCCAGGGTCCCTTTTTTTGGTTATTGCAGAGTTTCATAATAAGGTCCCCTTACAGGGTTATCGCGAGCGATGCAAGAATTTCGGCTCCAAACCCATGCAGGGAAGCTGTGACGATCACTTAAACAGAGCTTCTCAAAGACCAGTTCGTTGGGCTTTCAGAAGCCTGCCATGCTAAACCCTAAAAACCAGGGTTTAGGGGTTAGGGTTTTTGAAAGGCTGATAAAGGCTAATGTGAACCCCTGCAACTCGCAATATCAAGCAGCGGAATAAGAAGCCACATCATACTCAGAACCCCGCGATATGTCAGCTTTGCTTGTACCCTAAGCGCTCAACCCTTAATTATAGTGGGCCTATACCTCCACGGAGGGCCTGGGAGCCCTTGTACCCCGGTTTAGGGTTTAGGGTTTAGGGTTTAGGGTTTAGGGCTTAACTTACCCCCAAACCGAAGCCCCAATACTCCGATCCTAAAGCTCTGAACCCTTCCAGCCCTGCCTGAGGCCCTACAGCGCCGCGCATTACCACAGGGGTCTGAGCAATTGGTAAAAAACTCACCCACAGGCCCGATAGAAGCCTTATAAGTCTGTTTCAACCTATAGAACCCTGGTAACGCACTCTAAATTGCAAGCCCTAAACCCTGAGAGTCCGAAACCCTAAACCCTAAACTCCTTAAGCCCTAAACCCTGAACCCTACACCCTAAACCCCAAGACTCCGAAAGCGCCGCCATGCACTCTGAGTTATGACAAAAAGGCCAGGGCCGGATCAAGAGCCGGAGGCCTTGGTTTGGAATGACAGGTGGGGCAAGGTTTAGGGTTTGGGGTTTAGGGTTTAGGAAGTCTGGGGTTTAGGGCTTAGGAAGTTTAGGGTTTAAGGGGGTTTGGGGTTTAGTGTTTCAGGGGTTTCAGGGGGTTTAGGAAGTTTAGGGCTTAAGGGGCTTAAGGGGGTTTTAGGGGTTAGGAGCCAACATCGGGTTTGTAGTTGTTTGTTTTCTTTGCCTCCTAAGAGGGTCTTGAGTGGATTATTGTTTTTTTTGGAATCTGCCAGGGTTTTATAGTACGGTTGATGATATAAATCCTGCATTACCCATGATAGGAAATATACCACAATTCCCATAGTTTAGGGTCCTTAAGTTAAGGTAATGCAGGATTTATATCATCAACAGTATGACAGGTGGGGGAAATGCCTGGATGGGCGAGTCTATATCCTGGCTGCTCTGGTGATCGATGTGGAAGTTGCTCTTCCTGACACCTGCCCACGAAGAATGCCATTTTAGGGTTTAATATAAGGGCATAAATTAAATCTATTTTGGTGGACTCCTTACTATAGTTATAGCAAAATATACCCCCAAACCCTACAACAAATATTAAGACCCCTACATTAGGATTTAGGGCTTACGGCTTGGAGGGTTTACTTGTTGAGCCCCGGGCCCAAAAGCCTACCTCGTAAGAGAACATATAAGGAGATCATAATACGGCCCAGTTCAGGTAGGTTTGTAGGGTTCAGGTGGGGCTTACCCTACTGAAGGACATGTCCAATCTGACGACAGCCGTGGCGGAGCTGAGCCATGTGATCCAGTCAGAGTTACCCCATGCCGTGGCCTGTCTGAACATCCATGTCCTTCCCGGTCTCTCCCAGGGCGGAAACAAGCAAGTACGCCTGGCCATGTCTGGAGACCCACAGCTTTGTGCTGCATGGCATCAGCGCAGGCAGCTCCAGGGTAGCAAGCACCTGGGTCAAGGGGCGGTGGCATATTTCCACTCTCTCCGAGACACCACGAGTGTAGAACACCAGGAGAAGATGAGCGAGCTCGTGTCCTTGCACTCCAACTCCGAGTCGGGCTTCTTGCTGGATTTGCCCAGCGAGTGGGTTCGCGGTTGGCCAGAGGGTGCTACGAGCTTCCCGCAACATGCGGGATCCTTGTGGTATGATTTTGCAGCCGTCTGGGGGCCGGTGAAGGAGGCCTCCATGATTCGCGCGCAGGATCCGACCGTGGTGCACCTGCTTTTCGACTTTGGCAATCGAGGCCAGGGCGCCAAATGCCTCTTGGCAGGCCACAAGTATACGCATAGGCCCCAGAGCAGTTCCGTTTTGTGGCTTATATTTGGGATCCTACAAGGCAATCCCAAAAAGGAACTACTACTGTATGGGGCCATTGGGCGTAATGTACTTATGCTCGGGCGGCGTTTGTGAGGGATCTTCTAAACGAGCGAAGCCTAAACCGGGTTTAGAGGCGACCGTAACTTTACGAAGAATTTACAGCAGCTTGAAAGGGGCCACCACCCGAAACCCTAAACCCTGAACCCTGAACCCTAAACCCAGCCTAGGCCTCTTCGAATTGCTCACGGACCGCTATCTCTACAACCCCTTTGCGCAGAACCAGACCTACCCGGTTCGCTGTGCTCTGGGTCACTTCCAGGACGTCGATGGACGGTTTAGGGTTTAGGGTTTAGGGTTGTTCTTAACCCTACCTCTGGCCCAAAAAATTTGCCTTCTTGAGGAACTACAGACAGAAGCCATAATAAGGAACCCTAAAAAGGTAGGGTTTTTCGGCGACAGGTAAACCCTAAACCCCCAAAACCCCTAAACTTCGGGTTTAAAGGTAGAGGCATGAGAGTTTAGGCTTCAGGGATTTAGGGTTTAGGGTTTAGGGTTTAGGGTTTAGAGTTTAGGCTTCAGGGATTGAGCCCCTAGACTGGCCCCAAAACCCTATAAACCCTAAACATCCCAAGACCCTCATCCCTATAAACCCTAAACCTTTCAAACCCCCCCCCCACACAATGAACCCTATGCACCCTATAATCCCCTATAGCCCTAAACCGTCTAGGGTTGAGGGTCACTTCCAGGATCTTAAGGGGCAATAGGAGGGACCCCTAGAAGGGACCCCTAATCCAAATACCTATATAATCCTTACATACCCCTTACATAGTCTCATAAAGCCCCCTCTATAACCCCAAAGATTCCTTTAAGGGTCCCTCCTTGGGCCCCTAAACCTAAACCCTAAACCCTAAACCCTAAACCCTATACCCCTTATATAGTCTCGTAAAGCCCCCCTATATACCCCCAAGGGTTCCTGTAAGGGTCCCTCCTTGGGTCACTTCCAGGATCTGAGGCTGCAGCTGCTGCCAGAGACGGCCGATACTTCGGCTGCGGTCCCGGGCACCTTCGAGCTCCGACGCGTGCATCTGAGTTCTTCTTAAGGGTTTAGGGCTTGTAGGGTTTGTAGGGTTCTTGTTAAGGGTTTAGGGTTTAGGGTTTATAGGGTTGAGGGTTCAGGGTTTAGGGTTTTTGGTTCAGGGTTTTAGGGTTTAGGGCTAATCGGGCTTAGGGATGTTCAGGGTTGAGGGTTTAGGCTTTGTGCATCCGTTTTCTTGTTAAGGAAGTTGGTTTAATTCGCCATAATGAGGAAGGCCACATATTTTGGTCTTCGAAGTTTTGATAAGTTACCACTATGAAGAAGACATAAGAAAACCATATTACTTACTGCACTATAAATATTCGTTATGGTAACCCTAAACCCTAAACCCTAAACCCTAAACCCTAAACCCTAAACCTTGTTATGGTAGCTTATAACAAGAGACCAGGCATGGAGAGGAGATGAAAACTCCGCAGATCATTCGAGTGAGCCCAGA